TCATCAACTTTTGTTAGGGTATAAAATCCTGTGTTCGATTTGGTAAAAATGCATTGTCAAATCACTCTAATCTAGAAGAAAGGGCCCTAGCCGGCGGGGCCCAGCCAGGACAAAAGGAGGTCCCACAAAGCGCCTACACCGGCCGCATTTGCGGTCGGGGTAGACGACGGATGGGGCCCACCTACGAAGGCTGTCCAGGCCTACACGAGATGAGGCAGGATAAAGAGGGATGATCCCCCTCGATCCCAAATCATTGAGGCCAATTCCTAGCAATGGAATAATGGCGCGGCGCGCACTCTAATCTAAGTCTAAGAGCATATATACTACATGGAGGAAGCATCGCGTGTTAACATTGTATAACGAGTGGGGAAAAGTTGCCAATAGCGCCACGCGGACGCAGTTGACGCACGAGCGACTTTTCCGAACGAGTTGCACATATATTTTCTATCACAAGTGCGAGTCGTTATGGGACCTAGAGCATAGGGGGTTAGGTGCACGGAAAGTGCTAGATAGTATAACAGCGTGATGTTATTTAACATAACATCACGCTGTTGTACTATCTAGCACTTTCCGTGCACCTAACCCCCTACACTATAGGTCCCATAGCGAGCGCGCGTGGTAGAAAAAGTGTAGACGCTGTAAAGAGAAAGGACGATAATCTGAGTATTCGCTCTCTCTCTCTCTCTCTAATCGTTGAGAAACGAGTTCTGTTAGCCAATCACATGCGCGTGCGAGAGAGAAAGATGGTACCCAAACTAACTCTTTCTATCTCTTTAACTCGTCTACACTCGTCACCGTAAGAGTGCTTCCTACATCTAGTATATACTCTAATCTCAAGGTTGTTGCTGCTCCACCTTTCCCCTTTTCCTTTGATCTACTACTTTATTTTTGGTGTTTTGGTATTCCAGAATATATTTGAGGTTATGTTACAATATTATTGTTTTTCGCTTCCTGAATCTATAACTTTCAACATCTCGCGAAAAGGATTATCAACATATCCTGGATATTACCTCACCAACACGTAACAGAACAAAAATATTCATTAATTTAACACTTCTTTTCTTTTTTCCATATAATATTGGAATTGTTAATAAAAGTTTATTGGCATTCATACTACCATAACAAAGTTTTTTATTTCCCAGATGATTTTCGTTAATAAATTTCATAGGTTAGATCCGCCAGCGGTCACCATAGAAAATATAGTACTAACGTAGAATGAAATGTCCCTAATATTGCCAATAAACCGCGAAACAGCACCACGTAACGTTTTGGAAGCTTACTACTACTTANAAAGAAAATATAGTACTAACGTAGAATGAAATGTCCCTAATATTGCCAATAAACCGCGAAACAGCACCACGTAACGTTTTGGAAGCTTACTACTACTTAGCTCCTAATGAGTATTATTTTAAAAATTTTAAAAGTAAACCTTTATACAAATAGGAATAGTCAAGTAGTGTCAATACTTTTGAGAACAGATTATTTCGTTAAAACAGAAAAAGTAGCGAAAAACTAATATTCAGTACTTTTCTAATTCACTTCTGCTTTGATAACGAAACTAGAGGTTTCAGAGCGTCATAGTGTTATTGTGATGTGTATTTGTTTTTCTAGTGCGTAACCAGACTTATACATGTAGATGTATGTCTCTGGCATCTCACTATTAGACAAAAGTTTTCAGTATTGACACTTGACTGTCCCTATCGGTACAAGGGTTTATTTTTCCAGTTTTTTTTTTCTTCAATCTATGGCAAAATATTCAAATTATAACAAACATTTATAATGCCACAAATAAATACAGACAATTTCTTCTTATTTATTATTTTATTATGTTATAGTATTTTTCAAATTTTGATATTTGCCAAGATATACTTAGTAAATGGTTTTGATAAGGAAATAAAACATTTTGTAATAATTTTAAGTTTATTTTATATCTACAAGAAATCCTAATTGATTTATACAGAATGTTGTTATGCATGTACTATTAAAACAATTTCTTGTTATGTATTTAATTGTAAGTAAAAACGACAACAATTTAATTCATTTGCTTCATAAACTTGATAAGTTGGCAAGTAAGCTGTAAAAATATAAAAATTATGCATGAACTGTTATAATAATCTCACTTTCCGGAGAGTATAACCGAATATTTGTACAATATTGAGTTAAATTCAACAGTTCATATAGTTTAGAACTTTCAAACCATAGAAAACTTAATATTAACACTATATTTTCTATGTCTCAAACTGAATAAAGAAAGCAATTCACCACCACTAAGTATCAAAGGTTTCATAAAATATTAGTTGGAGTTTATCATCATACACATAATTATTTTTATCTATATTTAACTTAAATAATTACACATTTTATGTGACTGCGGGGGCCAATGAGCGCGAGCATTCATTTCCAACCAATCGCGTGCGTGCTAGAGTGAGACAGCAAGTACTGAGATACTGCCCGTCCCTCTCGCACACTCAGCCATACTTTTCGCAATGATGAGGTAGTATTAAAAATAATCTAATAATTTTAGGGTATAAACGTAATAGGAAATAAACAAATAAATTATAATTTAATTTTGCAAACCATAAAACAATTATTGTATTGAATTCATTGATTTGTCAGTGCATCCTGGATTTAATGTCAAACTTCGACGTAAATTATTAATGTCAATGTTAATACAGAGAAGAGTGTAAAAATAACAAAATCTGTTTTTTAATGGTAGATGGATAATATTGCGGATGACTAACCGTAGTTTTCTACTAGGATCAACTTTTCTTAATAACGAGTATCGATCTTGTAATAAATAAAAGTACTTTACTCTTCAACAAAATTTATATTTTTCAACAAACCTCGTATACATTTGCAAAAAATTGAAATCTGATTACTTCATTTTGGGTTTTAGGCCATGCAGAACTTTTTATCACGAATATATATTTTTTTCCTAAAACCAATAATAAAAAAGTATCACGTACCTTATGGCGCCGACTTAATTGAACACACTGTATAATATTTTTTAACTCGAGCCCGCNCGTACCTTATGGCGCCGACTTAATTGAACACACTGTATAATATTTTTTTAACTCGAGCCCGCCCTATAGAGGTATAAGTTCTTAAAGTTGGGAATTTCTCATTAAATTTAGACAATTTTTAGGTGAAAGTTGTTATTTGAATTTTCTTTTTCTGTTAGTGTATTCAGTATACCGACAGATATTATACTTTGAAGTGCAGAGCACCGCGGCGGTTTTGTCCCTCAAAAAAATTTATGGGCCTGATTTTTAATTTTTTACAGACGTTTTTAAAACTTCTCTTATTTTTTAAGCGAAAAAAGTAAAGTGTTTAAAGATGAACTATACCATACTATCTACATCTACTTCTTAATAGCAATAAATAGGGTCACAAAAAAAAACTAATTTTTCGATTAGATGGTCGATATCAGAAGACAATAATGTTCTCCTATCACTCCTATGCCCTATTCTTTATTATTTTAATATAAGCAATAGAAATATATATAAAAACGTTCGCCAGTTGACTTTATTGATGCCCGAGCGCCTTACTTCATTTCTGGTTGTAATGAGGCACGTGGTCTAATTCTGAGTCAATATTTTCACAACGTGCTTATTAATAGAGCGGACAATGTGTGTCTTTCGTTGAGAAACGAGTTCTGTTAGCCAATCACATGCGCGTGCGAGAGAGAAAGATGGTACCCAAACTAACTCTTTCTATCTCTTTAACTCGTCTACACTCGTCACCGTAAGAGTGCTTCCTACATCTATACTCTAATCTCAAGGTTGTTGCTGCTCCACCTTTCCCCTTTTCCTTTGATCCACTACTTTATTTTTGGTGTTTTGGTATTCCAGAATATATTTGAGATTATGTTACAATATTATTGTTTTTCGCTTCCTGAATCTATAACTTTCAACATCTCGCGAAAAGGATTATCAACATATCCTGGATATTACCTCACCAACACGTAACAGAACAAAAATATTCATTAATTTAACACTTCTTTTCTTTTTTCCATATAATATTGGAATTGTTAATAAAAGTTTATTGGCATTCATACTACCATAACAAAGTTTTTTATTTCCCAGATGATTTTCGTTAATAAATTTCATAGGTTAGATCCGCCAGCGGTCACCATAGAAAATATAGTACTAACGTAGAATGAAATGTCCCTAATATTGCCAATAAACCGCGAAACAGCACCACGTAACGTTTTGGAAGCTTACTACTACTTAGCTCCTAATGAGTATTATTTTAAAAATTTTAAAAGTAAACCTTTATACAAATAGGAATAGTCAAGTAGTGTCAATACTTTTGAGAACAGATTATTTCGTTAAAACAGAAAAAGTAGCGAAAAACTAATATTCAGTACTTTTCTAATTCACTTCTGCTTTGATAACGAAACTAGAGGTTTCAGAACGTCATAGTGTTATTGTGATGTGTATTTGTTTTTCTAGTGCGTAACGAGACTTATACATGTAGATGTATGTCTCTGGCATCTCACTATTAGACAAAAGTTTTCAGTATTGACACTTGACTGTCCCTATCGGTACAAGGGTTTATTTTTCCAGTTTTTTTTNCTTTATTTAATAAATATGTAGTATACAATTTCTGATTTTCTAAATATTTTATAACGCCTAAAAATGTATGTACCGTGGAATTTTCGTGAATTATCACGTAAATTTCCGATGCATACCCGACACGCCACTGCGTCATGGGTAATGTATCTAGGTTTATGAATGACATATCTATGTTCAAGGTTAAAGTCACAAATTGTCCGCTCTCTGCTTATTAGAAGAATTATGCGGATACGCCACGCCTTTCACGCATTTCGCGGCTCATGAGATTTTGAAACTACTCTACTAACTACTGGACAATAAAAACTTACCGACATAAATTGCTTATGGTCCTCTATAAAACAAAGTTTTATAATTTAATTTCGGGTAATTTCGTACCTACCTCAAACTTTAACTTGAAAACAGATAAAAAAAAACAGAAGATCATGAGAAATAAGTCTTATTTATTTCACTATACAATATGGAATAAAATTTTACATCAATAATACAACAATGGAATATATTTAGATCATTTATAAAACAATTTAAACATACAGTTAAGAAAAATAGAGAACATTGAATACCTTATTTAATAAGTCGGAATGATTTCGTCTATTCTAGATTTATTTAATTTTATTTCTTCTTCTTTTGTAGCTTTTGGCGCTTCTTCTCTTCTCTCCTTCTATCTCTTTCGACGAGGGACTTGTATAATTTGTAACCGAAGAACACTGAAAACAAAATAAAATATTAGGTTACCAGTCATACAGTGTTACAATTTTATAGTAATTAAGCAATAGCCAACATCTGTCAAATTTGTCTTTGTTAGAAAAAAAATCGAATATGACGTTATTTCTCAAAATTTCAGAAAAAAAGTTGTTTATGCTCCAATTTGATACTCATCATAATTCAGTTTAAAATGTCAAGCGAAAATTTTATTAGGGTGTTGAAAATCGGTAAATATACATTGTTTGTAACACTGAATAGTAAACAAGTTTTGTCTTTCATGTTTTTACCGCCATTTTCAGTATTTTTTGAAGTATGACAAAAGAAAATTACATAATTGCTTATGTCCGTTATTTGATAATGTTTTGGAAAATACAATTTAAAAAAATCTAGTAATAAAAAGATATAAGTATAGAGGAATCTTTTACAAATAAACTAGACATAGCACATAAAATATATAGAGGGTGGAGAGACAAGGAGAAATGCTAATAGTAATAATATTGTCGAAGAAGGAATAATTAACAGCAACAATGTCGCCGACTTTTCATGTAAAATTCAGCCAATGTTTAATAGTTGTACAAACTGCAACATAACTATAAATATAAACAAATAGTTATAATAAACATTTAATATGTGAAATACTAAATAATGTATTTTTGATGAGAGTTGATTTACCTGAGTGTATTTATAAGTATTTATTGTATAAAAAATATAGATAAAAAACGGTACGGGAAAGTTAACTTTCCGGCCTATAGGCCGGAAAATAACTGTTTGCAGATGGTTGCTTAGCAACGAATTAAAATACTAAAATACAATATATTTGAGTCCGATTTTGGGCCCAAAAAGTACACATTTCCGAACGATTTCAGAAAAACATACTTTTTATTTAAATTACTCGTATATTAACGAAGAATATTTGTAAATTTTTTAAAACGAGTAAAAATTAAAAATAATCATTTTAAAAGAGTAATGAAATTGATTGTGAGATACACTCAATTTCATTAAGAATAAGTTGTAAAAATATCGTATTTTTTTAATTAAAAAATAATATTTGCGAAAATGTTTTGTTTTTTAAATGATGCCGTCAGATATTAAAAAATACTTAAATTGTAGGAAAAGGTACATAACATATTATTTATTTCATTTTATTAGCGGTCAGTTAGAAGTAATATGAAGGAAATAATTACAAAATAGTCATGGTTTCATATAACCAAAAACGTGAATTGTATTTTTATAGATACCTAATTACAATTTCATTTTTAGTCACAGAACCTAATAGCAATATTTCAGGAAAAATGGTTACAAATTATATTATTAAAAAATCAAGTAAAATGCATTGTTTATAATAATATTCGTCAATCTGAGGTTAATATGAATTTGAACACTTACCAAAAATGAGTACGAAAAAAGTGGTCAAACACGAATATAGAACAATACAAAAGAATCGAATTTTCTCTTCCTTAATCTTAGCCTCGACCTTTTCAAAAAACTTTCTTTGAAATACTGTGGTTCGATTAGAAACTATACTGGCCAATTTTTTAACAGAAGCTAATGCCTTTAATCTATTCATTCTAATAAAAAAATATCAGAATCGACTAATGGTGAGTTTTGCCCAAACTGCTGGCCAAGTTATCTGTAAGTATTTCTAATGGAAATATGAGATAAACACCCATATTGTGTAAACAGCAATCAGTGATGTATGAAAATAATGATCCATTGAGGCTGACAACTGTGACTGTTTACATTCTTAATAGGTATACAGAGATTTTGAGATTTATATTTAAAAACCAGCACAAACCCGCATCAGAAATTGCGACGCCGAATATACACTTACTACTTTTATATTAAATACACAAAAGTAATATTTGAAAAATAATTTTTGGCTTTAGTACATATTATAAGAAACCCGTGGTGGCTTCAATATTTAATGTTTTTTTCATAAACGCCCGTCAAAGTGTGATTGATCGGATACCTAACATGGTAAGCAGTTTAGATATTATTTGTAGGGAAAATAGTAACTCTATCTGAATCCATATGCTCCAACCGCAAAATCCATAATTTACTAAAACGAAAGTTAAAAAGTAAAAAATCTTATAGTTCAGATGATATACTAAAAGTTTTAGTAAAAACTGTTATTGATTAGGTATACATTAGGACGCGTGGGTTGGAACAAATTCATTCAAAATTCAGGGGTTTGGTTGGTTGCGGTGGCCCAAAAATAAGTGACGACAATGAACTTAATTTTTTGAAATGGAAATACCTATTTTTTATTTCATTTTTGAATTCTGCACCGAATTGTAAGTATGTTTCATGTACCATGTTCTATACCTAAACTCTACAGTTACCGATAAATTTACAATTTAATTATTTACACAGGGTGGCCAAATGAAAACGAAACAGAGCCATTTTCAGGAACTGCGTCAAGATTGTAGAAAAACGCTCAGACCCGTCGATTTTAGATTCTTTCTTACGTGGCCAGTCTCTAAACTTTTTTTCTGTCTTACTAACTACGGATTGTGCAATAGGCCTTTCCGGTTACTTATCATTAAACAATTCGCAAACTTCAGCTTGTGTTCGAGTCATGTCGCCATATCCTACCATCATCAAAATTTCCATTCGTTGCCATTCTTTCAAACTTTATAACTGCACTTAACAATTACTTGTTTTAAGTCAAATTGTCATACAGTTTCCATGTGACTAAACGTTGACAAGTCTACAATTAAAATTACCAGAATTAAAAAAAAACAAACGCAATTGTTTTAGTCGATTTACAAAAAAAACCTCAGAAATCAAGTCGACAATACACTGCTCAATAATTGAACCGGATACTTGTGATTAACATATCTTGAAATATTGATTCAAATTGTTAAAATTATTATATTGCATACTGATAATGGGGGTCAATATGTTTTAAGTGTTTTTTTCTTTTCTTGTCTGGTCAACAATTTGAACATTTAATTTGATTTGTTATTCTGTTTTATTAATATATACAGGGTGGCCAAATGAAAACGAAATAGAGCCATTTTCAGGAACTGTGTCAAGATTGTAGAAAAACGCTCAGACCCGTCGATTTTAGATTAAAGGGGGACATTCTTTGCTGGTATTTTTGACTCCGCCACTTTCACCCCCAAGCAAGGGTAAGCATCACCCCAAAATATTTAAATGGCATTGGGGGTTGAGTAATATTTCTTTTGAAAGCTCTTACAATTCTCTTTACAACAGACTTTAAATTTTATAATTCCGCCCAATACTTATTAAGAATTTTGATTTTAAAGTTGAAACTTATGTACAAACAATTAGTAACGGTAAAAATGTCAGTCATTCGAGTTAAGTACGCCAATGGTATAAATTTAGTATTTCTTGCGTTACATTGGTTTTTGGCGATTTGTTATCACTTTCGTAAAAAAAAACACAATTGTAAAAAACAGAAATGAATGCTATACACACACAATGAACGTAAAATTAGTGGATTCCAAATTATTTTCTAGTATTATTTGGAAGCGTTGGTTGGTAGTTTATTTAATTGTGTTTTTGAAAATTAAACACTATGGTTTATTCCATTGCGGAAAGGGTAGATATCATTTCGCTTTACTTTATGAACAATAAATGTGCGAATAGAACAGCTCAGCTATTTAATGAACAACATCAAGATCGACATGTCAGGAGGAAGTATGTTCTAGAGTTAGTAAAAAAATTTCAAGAGACAGGGAACGTAGCCAATAAAAAACGAGAAATTGAAAAACCTATAGTTAATGAAGCTAGTGAAGTTGCAGTTTTGGGACAAGTTCATCTTGATCCTACATTAAGTACGAGGCAGCTGGCATCTGTGTCTGGGATCAATCGAACTAGCATACAAACCATTTTGAAGAAGAATAAATTCCATCCATACAAAATACATTTAGTCCAGGAACTTCATGAGGATTATTATGACCGCCGTTTGCAATTTTGCGAAATAATGAGTGAGCGAGCAGGGAACGATCCACAGTTCCTTTTTAACATCTGTTTTTCTGATGAATGCAGTTTTTTCTTGAACGGGACGGTAAATCGTCACAATTGCCGCTATTGGTCCGATTCAAACCCAAGAGTTTTTCACGAGGTGCATACACAGCAACCGGAAAAATTAAATGTATGGGCTGGAATTTTCGGTGACCGGCTGGTGGGTCCTTTTTTTCTACCTGGTAATTTGACTGGCCAAATGTATTTGCAATTACTGGAAGACGCTATTGACCCTGCCTTGACTGATATTATTGAAAATGTTCCAGAGTATGATGAAGATCATTTGATTTTTCAACAGGACGGTGCTCCTCCGCATTATGCGTTAATTGTCCGTCAGTATTTGGACCAACGTTTTCTACGGAATTGGATTGGGAGAAGAGGCAGCATTGAGTGGCCTCCACGATCACCGGATTTATCGCCCCTTGATTTCTTTTTGTGGGGATACCTAAAAAGTAAAATCTATAAAACACAGCCAGCGTCGCTGGAAGATTTGCGTCAAAGAATCGTCGACGAATGCCGTCGAATCACTCCGGAAATGCTTCGGAATGTGCGCGAACGTTTCGAACAAAATCTTTATTCTTGTATGGAAGCGGGCGGTCATCAGTTTGAACATTTAATCAACTAAGTAGTAAGTAAGCAACTAAACATAATTTAAATTTTAAAATGTAAATTTTTTTCAAAGTATTGGGCGGAATTATAAAATTTAAAGTCTGTTGTAAAGAGAATTGTAAGAGCTTTCAAAAGAAATATTACTCAACCCCCAATGCCATTTAAATATTTTGGGGTGATGCTTACCCTTGCTTGGGGGTGAAAGTGGCGGAGTCAAAAATACCAGCAAAGAATGTCCCCCTTTAATCTAAAATCGACGGGTCTGAGCGTTTTTCTACAATCTTGACACAGTTCCTGAAAATGGCTCTATTTCGTTTTCATTTGGCCACCCTGTATATATTAATAAAACAGAATAACAAATCAAATTAAATGTTCAAATTGTTGACCAGACAAGAAAAGA